ACTATTTTTATACTACTGGGTTCTCAAGGAACCAGGATATCGTAAGCTGGTGCAATCTTGCCCTGGGGCATCATTGCGTCACAGGACCATTGAGGCCTCAGCTGTGACTGGATGTACACAGAATTATGTTCCCACACATCCTAGCTGGCCTTCATGGCAAGGCAGTAGGCCTAATCACAACTTAACTATGAAGTGATTCCTCCCCAACAATTACATAGAGTGGTCCTCAATAAGAATTCATTCAGGTTACTGAGAACATTGTCAAAAGGGACAGTGGGTAAATTTCCAAGAAAGAAGTCATGCAGCCAGGATGAGACTTTGCAGTTTTTTGTATGGGAACAAAGATACTAGGAAGGGTCTGAGCTAGCAGGTGTATACACTTTAGAAATACATGTTCTGGAGAATCCTATTATTCTTCACCTTTTAGGAGCACCCGTATTCAAATTAAAATTGTACATCAAAATTTCAAACTATCAAAGCCTCTCACTTATACCTCAAAAGAGTCTCTGTAGAGTTAGGTAAGGGTATCTGTATTTCCAATCTTTTTTTTTTTTTCATTTTCTTTTTTGTCTTTTTCATTTTTATCAGTACCAGGGATTGAACTCACGACTGCCTGCTTGCAAGGCAGGCACTTATGCTGCTGAGCTAAATCCCCAGCCCCTGTATTTCCAATCTTTAAAGAAAAGATATGATAAGCTCAGAAGAGGAAAACATGGGTTTTTAAATTTACTCTTATCACTTCCAGGAGAACATGGCGGACAAATAATAGCAGCCATGGAGGCTCTCTGAGATTACCAGTTTAGAATCCAGGAGCGGTGCCGTGTGAGGAGTCCTGTGCGAGGGGAGATGTACTCTGCCGACCCAGGAATGAACTAAGCTGCGAGAAACCAACTAGAAATGCAATCCTGCTGCAAAAACAGGAACAGATAAAATCTCAGTGTGGAAGCTGGATCCCGCGCCACTGGAAGCCGCGATGTGAATTTGCTGCTGCCGATACTGCGTCCCAATCTGCACGGCAGGGAGAGAGATGTGCGAAAGCTCTGAGAGCTGGAATCAGTGAACCAAACGGCATTGAGAGTGGGACAGACAGGGAGCCCTGCATCGACCTGTGGTGAGTGAGAGAAATGGAGACCCTTTCATAGACTAGGAGGCTCCAACAGAGGACATTCTGGAAACAAGCAGACTAGCCGGAACAGGGCCCTGCAGTGACTTTAGTTACATATTCCCCTCTCAAGCGGGAGTGGTGGGGAGCGCTTGGCCTAGTGATGCTGCAGACTAAGATCCAGTAGGCTAGCCCAAATCAGGTCCCTGCACCTGGTGGTGTACCCTAGCAGTGAGGCATTCAGTAGGTTAACCTGGAGGGGCAGGCCCAGCAGAGGCTGCCCAGGTCTGTGTCTCCCTAGTACACTGCAGTGGGCAGGAACACCTAGCCCGCAGATTCAAACAAACTGTAACAGACAAAGAGAAAAAAAAAACTGTGCCTTCTACAGACAGTTGTATGGAAGGAACAAAAAGTATGGGAAAAGGGAGCAACATGAAAGGGTCCTCAGTCCCCAATCCTGAGAACAGAGATCCAGGAAAGGTAAATGCAAAAGAGAATGAAGACAGAAAACATGCAATATCAGACACGGCCCCTAAAGACCTAAAGCAGTATATCCGGAGCCTCATAGACGAGTTCAAAAATGAAGTAGTTAATGAAATAAAGCAAGAAATAAGTAGAATAGTTAGAGAAATGCTAAGTACCAACCAAGAAAAAGCAGATGATGGAATGGAAGAACAGAAAAAAGGGGAGAACTGTTTGATGGAGAAAATAGAGAAAACATAGAATACGTGAAGCAGGTTCAAAGAGATTACCAGGAAACTAAAAACTCTATTGAAAGCTGTTATAACAGCTTGAAAGAAACTAAGGATAGATTTTCAGAACTGGAGGACAGATTTGTAAGGTGGGAGCATGAAATGAAAAACTTCTTAAAAATAACAAGAAAACAAACAGCAATAATACAAAGACTAGAAGATGATAAGAGGATCTATAACTTAAGAATTAAGAACATAAATGAAGAAGTAGGGACTCAAACAAATGAACTACAAAAGCTACTCACAGAAATAATCCAGGATAATTTCCCTAATTTAGCAAAAGGTAAAGATACTCAGATGTATGAGGCATACAGGCCCCAGCCACCTACAACCCAAACAGAGCTACACCCAGGGATATAATAATCAAAATTCCAGAAATCCAATATAAGAACAGAATATTAAAAGCCATCAAAGACAAGAAACAGATCACTTACAAGGGAATACCCATCAGAATTACAGCAGACTTCTCGGCACAAACCATCAAATCACAAAGAGTGTGGGGGGAAATAATTCAAGCTTTGAAAGATAATAACCTCCAGGCAAGATTGATACATCCTGCACAACTGTCCCTAGAAATTTATGGAAAAACAAGGTGCTTCCAGGATAAAGAGGAACTAGGGGAATTTGCAACCACCAATTCAACTCTACAGAGAATACTGCAGGACATTCTAAAAGAGAAAAATACCAAGATTCCAGCAACAGTGGCAGAGAGGCCACAATGAATGGAGCAGAAAGCAAAATGAAGAAGACAAACTGACAACTAATGACAGAAAAAGAACTCAACAGAAATGAGGCCGAGAAGGTTGGATGGTAGGAACAGCTATTTTTGAGAAAACAAGACATCATAATAGCTAGTGCTGATTTAATATCCTCTTGTTTTGAAGTCCTATCAAGCTTTTGTTCTTCTCTCTCCATCGGTCTTAACAGGTTGTATCTTATTGGATTTTATTATATGTGATAATATAAACAAAAACTTTTATAGACAAGGAGATTATACAAAAACCATTGTTCATTTTCTGTTAGTTGGTTCTAAATACCCTGTAATACTGTCATTCTCTTGAACAGTTTTACATTGTCTTGATATGTTTGATGCTACAGTACACAAAGTTATACCCAAAGATTTTAAGGGAGGAGACACTATGGTAACTACTATTATGTCGAGATTATCTTGTGGTGAAACACTATTTTGCTTAAATGGCTATGTTTTGACCTGTGCTGTTTTGTTGTTATGCCCTCATTTTTATCTCAATCTCCTTTTTATTATCTACTTTTTCATTTTTATCCTTTTAATTAAGGGGAAAATAAATAAAAAATAGCAGGATATATTATAGTAACCCACTTTGATTTCCTATTAACTTGATTTTAAACTCTGTATTGCTCTATCTTGTCTTGACTGATTTTCCTCTATTCTGTTATGCTTGATAGTACCAAGTTTGAAAGTATAGGCAACAATTATGAAGACAATAAGATTCATTGTGATGCCCATTCTGGTTGACTATTATCTTCTTTTGAAGTCCTCTAATGTCTCCAATGTTTTGGTTTTATTTGTCTTATTCTTTACTGTTTTGTTCAATTTTATTATAATTGATGATATAGGCAATTCTTTTTTAAGATAACAAGAGGCATTATGGTAACCATTGTTGATCACCTTGTATTTTGTTTTTACATTATGTATTATGTCTATCCTTTTGATTTGACTGACTCTGTCCTGGTGTGTTACTCGGTTTTACTTTCTTCAAAAAAAAAAAAAAGTAATAAGAACTATGGGAGCAGTGAAACCCAAGATGTGTAATTGTCATTGTACGGAAGAAGGGAGGGGAGAGTTCTCTGAGGGATATAACTGCATGTATATTTGGGTGTGTAGGATGGATAACCATATTGCTGAGTTTTGTTGGATCATTGAACAAAACTGTTTGCAGTCTCACTGTTTAAAGGTCCCCTCTGTATGCTTTAAGTTTGTAACTTCAACAACTATTTCTAAGATGACACTATGTAATTAACTAGTGATTTCTTACTGTTTATTTTTTCTGAAATTCTGTATAACTTGTACCCTTTTTCTGTTTTTTTTTTCTTTTTTCTCCTTAAATAAAATTTTTAAAAAAGTTACTCTTATCTTGGGCTTAGTCCTTATTAGCATAGTGCTTCATGACTATGCAGTATGTGCTGGACAAGTGTGCATTTCAAAGAAGTCTGGGTGCTGAGAATTTTGACCCTTTTTCACCACATTTCATGTAAGACACCTACACTTTACCACAAAGAACTTTCCTCCTTATTGTCACTCTGGGTACATAATAACCACAGGATCTCTCCCCAGACTGTAGCTGCAGCCCTGTCCCCCGCCTGTGAGATGCATGTCTCTGGACTTATATTCATGATACTCTACAGTACATTTGTGTTACATGCACCTAGCCCTTCACTTCTGCCCTCCTGCACATGGCTCTGGAGTAGGCATGGTTCCTGTAGGCTGCAACAGACACTTCCGAAGTTTTAAGTAATGCTTCATACTCAACAGGCCCTTAGTTTCTGCTAGCTCTTTGTCTCGTTGCATGGATAATTATCTTTGTGAAGTGTTGTCACAGAAGCTCAGCAATCTGACACACAATATGATAATGTACATATTACACTGCAGAACACAGCATTCCCAAAAGCCTTAGGTGAATGGGGTTCCTTCTGCTGCTTTAAATACACCTGGCTAGATCAAGACCTACACAACACAAGAGATCTGAAAGGCAAGCAGCAGTCAGTGGTCAATGTCTCACCTGGTCTGGTGCTCAATTGGACTGCTTCTACCCCTTTTCTAGATGCTGTGTTCACCAAATCCCTTGCCTCTGCAACTCAGCTCAGGACCCTGGATGTGGTTTTTCCCTTGACACTTGATTTAAAGTGTGACATGTTCACACTAAACTCTAGAAAAAAACCAGCCTGACCAGTCTCCAAGAGGAGAAAGATCAGGTAGGACATGAACAGGTGTGTGTCTTGGCTACTCATTGTGAGGATGAATGGCCTCTGGTATCTGTTCTCTGCTGCCCCGGTGTGAGAAACACTGGGGAACATCAGAAATCCAGGCTCCTCTACAGAATTTAAGCAGATGTGTTTACAAATGGCCCACAAGTACCCTCTGGGTGCTATTGAGAATAAAAACAGAATACGGAGAAGATATATAAATTTAATTTAGGCAAAAGATTTATAGATCCTCTGTATAACACCAATATTTTTTTAAATTAAATGCTTATGTTCAGTACAGGATGGGGTCAATTGAAGAAGCAAGCTCCCAACATTATCACCAGTTGGAGTCTCTAATAATCCCTTTCCAATTCCCCATCACCCCCTTTTTCTCTTTCTGGGTTCAGCCAGTCTCAATCATGCTCCCCTAGGCCTTGTTAAGGGAGCTGGCCTGAAGGGCAGCAAACTCAGCATAGAGTCAGTTTCCAACTGCCTCTTCCTTGGCTCAAAATTGTCTTGGGTCCTCTGTTCGTTGGATCCTCTGGCAAAACTGAAGTAGGATAAGTCTCTGACAAACTTACTCTTTAATGAAAAATTCATTTGCTTTAAATGTAGTCTCTCCTCATTCTCTCTAGGAGGAAGCCAGCCTAGCCAGTCCCCAAGACTCAGTAATGAGCCTTTGGAAGTCCAACACGTTACCATGAACACAGTTGGTTTCACCATCCAGTTACAGGACACTGTAGACTTGGACTTGGGATGATCTTACCATTCAAAAATGACCATGACTTGCACCACCATCTACTCTTCCTCCTCCAACTTACTCTTGTGACCAACTGGCCAGATCAACACATGAGATCAGGGTGGGAAGTTTTCCCCTTGCAGTTGAGTAAAGTCCCTACTGTGAGAACCCACCAGCTCATAGCCTCCAAGTCACTATCGGTTTTCTTTGCTCTTGCTTTGGAAGCTGGGCTTTGGCAAGAGGAACATCTAGAAATGCACTCATTCCAAGTCAGCAAGGAGGGAAAACAAGTAACATGTTAGAAAGCTAGGGCATGGGCATCTACACTTACAGAACACTTTAGAAATTACAAATGCTCAGAATGTAGTCCACCCAAGTTCTTCACGCATTCTTGTCTGGTCTGAAAGTGAAAGATACTATTTTACAGCCTTGCTTTTGTAATGGCTGTCCAAAATCATTTTCAAAACAAAATAGAGGATGTGATGAACTTCAGTACCCTTTGCAGACCAAGAACTGGTTCACAGACTCAGGCAGCATCATCTGTTGTGCTGATTCCCGAGGCAGACATTTATGTGGAAGAGAAATGAGGACAGCTATAGCAACTAGAAATGAATTTCAAAGGTCTCCAGCTCTTTGCGACTCAATCGGGCAGGGTTACAGGCCTTGAGTGGTCTCCTTCCAACCTGCAAGAATAAAAGGAGAAACTTTTTCCTAGATCTTTACAATAATCCTATGGAATATAGATTATTATCGCCATTTTACATGTCTAAAAAATGAAGTTCAGAGTATAAAACAAATTATTCAGGGTTAACAGCAAATATGAAGTAAAGAAGGGACTTGGATCCAGTTCCTCTTGCTCAATTATTGTGTCATTTGAACCATACTATGCTTCATTACAAACCCTCACATAGATGTGTGGTTATAGAACAGGGCCCACACAGGGTCTTCTATAACCCTGAACCCTAACCTCTCAGGGTTATAGAAGTTAGCTTTAACGTTGGGTTATACCTGAAGGGCCAGGAATCCTAGGAGGTGTCAAGAATCCCAGAGAGCACCTACCCTCCCCAACCTTGTGACAAAAACAGTATCATTATGGCTAATGGGTCTAGGTACACTTCATGCCTTAATTACCCTGGATATACATGCAAAGCATAGGAGCAGGGAGTATAGCTCAGTGGTAGAATGCCTGCCTAATAGACACAAGGTTCTGAGTTGAATCCTCGGAGCGGGGGCGGGGGGTGAATTTTATCTGCCTTAGAATATTCTGTAACTGCACCTCTACAATGTTTCCCAGTGACTTTGTAATTTCCAAATATTGTTAAGAGGCATTTATTTTTCCCTCTCAGACCCTCTATCATCTCACATTCATCTTTTAAGAGGAGAGGTGTAGCTTGTAGCTCATACTCTAAGAAATAATTTGGGAAGAGCCTTAATTTGGAACCCAAACTGCCCAATAAAAGTTAATCTTGAATACATAGTATGATCTTGAGTGAGACCTTCAGTTTTTTGGGTCTCGCTGTCTAAATTCTAAAATGAAGATTCAGACTAGAGTATGCTTAAACTCCCTACAACTCTGCTACAATATGATGACTTTCTCATAACAATACCCTTCCTGGATGTACTTCAAGTCAGTGCTAAAGAAACAAATTCACTCAGAAAGAGCTCCAGATTCTGACCTGTTCATAGATGGTGGAACTGCAAGAAGGATCTTGGTTCTTCTTGAGTCTAGCCTAGAGAATAAAGAATATTTAACTTCAAGAGAAGTGCTCTATCCTAGCTGATGAACAAAGTCCCAAAAGAGATTAGGCCCCCAGAAAGCTGCCTGAGGTTTCCTTGTCCACAAAACGCAAAGAATCTACCCCAGGAGCAACCAGCAGTGTTTGCAGTTTCCAGGAAGAACAGTGTATACTGGCATGAAGGAATGTCAGAGATTAGTATACCATGCCCACACACCTGTAAAGCCCACATTCCTAGTGCATGAGCATACATATGCATACATATACACCTACACACACAGCCCTCAAACAATCCTAATGTAAATACTACCCCAAAACATGTATCTCTTCAACACACACTCACTCACCTAATGCACACAATTATGGTACCATACTTAGTACCAACCCTAGCACAGTCCTGAACACAGTGATTATATAAATTACTTCAATGTTATGTAGAAATTTTAATAGTGTAATACCAAAATATGTATTCATAGTGTCTATGAATATCTTCATGTCATAGGCAGGCAATTATATTGTATATAATTAAAGTTAAATATTTCTCATGGTGAGTTCCAAGTTGGTTAGATGATTTATTAGAAGGAAGTTGCCACGCCATGTTGGAACTTAGGATTCTGGGAAGCCAAGCAAGCACCTCCTCTCCCTGGTAAGCGGAGGCAGGGTGGCAGACTGCAGCCCTTCCAAGGGGAGAACCAGCAGTGTCTACTGAGATCTGCGCTATTAAATATTCTGTTTTGATAAGTTCTATAGTGTTCTATATTTCATCTCATTTTGATATACGTGATTAAAAGAACAACCATTATAAAGATAACAAAATATACTATGATACCTATTACTATTATCCCGGTAACCTGCGGTGAAGTTCTGTACCAGTTTCACTGTACAATCTTAGTTGGCTTTATTCTGACTTTTTCTTTTGTATACTTTCAAAATAAAATAAAATAAAAAGAAGGAAGTTGAATGAAACGTCTGAAAACATGTCCTAAATTCCCTCAAACACATGGTCTCTGACCTTCATGGATTTCCACAGTTCCCAACTTTTCTTGTACCATGTTACAGTTTATGGTTTCATACTTTGGTTTCTGCCATGTGAATACCACCCTTTCCATCCCTCCCCACATCAGGTAGAAAGGACGAGGATGGGCACCAGGATGCCTAACTGTGTGGTTCCTGTTACACGGGAGAGCTATGAGTTCAGCTTGGAGCCAGATATCTGCCTCAGTCCAGAGGCCTCCACCAGTGGAGCCCTATAAGACAGGAATGGCAGGAACCTTAAAAGCTGAAAACACTGTTGTTTTCTAGCACAGTTCACTCTTCCAGGTCCAAAAAAAAAGGTTCTGCCTTGGAAATCTCTCACTAGAGAGACTGACCTATTAAGGCTCTGACCTATTAGGCTCTCAGCAACCCCTCCTCTTCAGCACCTCTTTTCTATTCCTATCCTTTGCTTCTCCTTTGTCCTTTTCTAGAAAGTCCTAGAAAACCCTTAATACACTGTTATGTGAGTCTTTCGCTGTTCTTTACCTCTAGACAGAACTAGAAAGGCATTTCTTCTGTTTGAGACCATGGAATTTAAATATTATCCTTTAACAGAAGGTAATGGGATACAAGTCAGGGAGGATGGAGCATACACACTTTGCAAACACACACTGCACCCACGCCTGCCTGTGCTCACACCAGACAGACATCTGCATCCATAGTGCCATTCCCCCCCCCCCCCTGCACAGAAGGAGACTCACCTGGGAAACCTGTATTACTGAATACAAAGTAGCAGCATTTCCTTGGGATTGTGACTCGGAAGCAGAACACTAATGATAAAACAAATGAAATCTTTTCAGAAACCTTGATCCAGCACAACCTAGAGAGGTCACCTCTTATATCCTCCTGCCTCAGCCCTGCCTAGGCAGAAGCTTTAGGTGTCAGTTAAAAAAATCCTGGATGAGCTGAGAAGCCTATCAACATGAATGCTAGTCCTGTTCTATTATTAACAGTAGCTACTATTTGTTGAGCATTTTTTGTTTTGTTTTGATTTTGCTTTTGTTTTTGTATTTTTGAGGCAGGGTCTTGCTATGCAGTTCAGGCTGGACTTGAGCTCACTTTGTAACCCAGGCCAGTCTCAAACTCACAATAATCCTCCTACCTCAGCCTCCCAAATTCTGGGATTATAGGCATGTGCCACCATGCCCAGTTGTATTTTGTATGTATACTCTCCCCTTTACCCATAGATGACTCCTATAAGATAGGAATGACAATCATTTACACCTCCACCACAGAGGAGGATACAAAAGGGTGAAAAGCTCAAGTCAGTGTGTACACAATAGAAAAAGGAATCAAGCCCAAGATTCTCAAGGGCTTTTTCTTCAACATCTCAATGCCTCTCTTTGTCAACATGCCTTCCCTCTCTGGACCTGAACTAGGTGTCCTCCAGGCCAGGTAATCTTTCTCCTTCTTTCAACTTTTATTTTTGTTACTATATGTTTGCAATGCATAATGATTACATTCATCAATGGAGCTGGTTCACATACTCAACACACTTAATTCTTTTTAACACTCTTTCTCTCCCTTCTTCCTCTTCTCCCTCCATCTCTTGATATTTTTCCTATTTGCAAGAGATCACTCTTCCTGTTTCCTATTACCTATCTTTTACTTGTTTTTTAATTTATTTATACTTTGGATTTCTCATATAAGAGATATGATGCAATATGTAAACTTGTGTGTCTGATATATTTCACTTAACATTGCAGTCACAAGGTATCCATTTTCTATGCAAATCTCAATGACACAGATTCCATCTGACCCTACACTGACTGGTTACCATCAGGAAACCCTCCTCCTTTCAAGATGCTCCCAAAGGGGGAGTCTCATTTCCATCAATAACACCATTGGACATATAGTGTTCTTTGGATTTATTCAAATTCCTCTCCTGGGAGTACAATCTTGCTAAAGCCGAAGATCTGGCCAGTGTCAATCACTGTTATAATGGATTTTCTTTGCCCCACCATCTAGCCATATCTGCTTGGGCTTTTAATTATTTTATTTAAGAATAATTCATCTTTATCAGAAACTTTTCATCCTTTGCCACCAGGAAGCAGCTCTTGGGAGAGAGCTGGGAAAAAGATAAAAACAAAGGGAGCTATCCTCACTTCCAATTGAGCAAAGCTATCTATTCTATGAGGCCTCACAGGGCTCCACCCATGTAACCAGAGCAGAGGAAACCCATATGGGCATCCTCCAGTCAAGTGTCATTCGTGGTATTGAAAAAGCACTTCCTTCCTGTGCCCACTCTGCCTCACACTGACAGCTGAGTATTGCTTGACCCATCAGGGTTTTCCCCGTAGGTCTCTTACCACATCCTTCCCTGATTAGAGGTGTAGTACTGGGGGTCATCCAAGACCCTCTCCAGCGTCTTTCTCTTCCATATCTCTGGATGACAAGAAGAGTTGGCCACTGCCTTCAGAGAACTGAGAAGTGTTCCCTGACGTCACTGCTTTGGTTTCTGGCTTCCTATCAAGCTACTTCCTCTTTCTAGTGCCTCAGCTAGACTTGTGTTGTAAGCACAGGCCACTGGGCCAGCTACACAACTGTTGTGCTTTGGTTGGTTATGCTCCTCAGTAACAATTAAGGGACCCACAAAAATTAGCTCTTATCTGCTAAGGAGATGAGAATTTGGGTTCAGACATAAGAAATATGAGAAGGTTTCTTATTCTGGCACTCAGCTCAGGTGACAAAACTGAGCAAGACTGAGGAAACAGTGGGACAATTTAGGGAGGCAGCAAGAGCATCCTTTCCTCTGCTGGCTGCTGCTGTTCATCATCCCTTCTTAACAGGAGCAATTCTGAACCATGCTGCCCTTCCTACCTCCCTTTCATATTCTCTGCTGTTTTTCTCTTGCCCTTCTCCTATATGGCCAGAGCTAAGAAAATGATGGAGAAAAAAGAGACAAGGAAACACTGACGATCACTTTGAAAGGACAGTCGTTCAGTTTTCTTTATTCCCCTACTCTTAAAGGCCATCCTCCAAACAGCATTTTCCAAACCAGTTGAGAGAACCCAATCCCTAGAGTGCCTTACTTGATTCCTCTTAATTTCCTGGATATCTTCATACACTGTCAGAAATTCCTGTGGGCTAGACCCTGTAGAAGGAAGGAAGCAAATATCAGAGCTCCAGAAACTTCCAAAAGGCCTGCTCTTCAGACTTGCACTTATGACAGATCCCCTACCCGGTACCCTAGATGGTCAAGACCTTAAGAATGACTCTAGAAAAGAGTTGTGTTGGTTCTGTTCTCTTCCCAAAGTACAAAGTGGAATAACCACTCCTGACATACTTTCTCTATTAAGCTGGGCAGTCCCACCTGCTCCTTGAAGGTCAGACTGCATCTACCACAGAAAGCAGGAACAAGGATAGGGGACCTTCCAGCTACTGACTGCCACCCTTCAACTGTGCACACACATATCCCAACACCCCCCAAAAAGGACATTCTGTGCACACAGGAACACCCCACTGCCCACAGGCCCAAGCCACTGGATCTAATCCACAGAACCCCCTCAAGGAAATCCCACTTACGTGACTGCTTTCTCTTCCTCTTCCTCATCCACACACAGAAGCAAATCAGGGTGCCAAGAAACAGTACACCTAGAATCACGATTACTATCCAAAAGGGTAAAAACCTGGGTTCTGGAGAGCACAGAGGGTACAAAGGTTGAGTTCTCACTTCTTGTCATCTTGCTTCCCACCTGTCAGCTACAGAGACTGGCTCACAGCCCACTCTGCTCTGAGGTGTGGCTGATCTCATACCTTATGAATTCACATCAAGGTTGTCCCTCTACTCAATTGGGTGACTCCCTCTGAGTGATGCCAAGAATATGAACATTAATATCTAACAGACCTGGCCATATTATAATCTGTCTGAAGGGGCTAATTACATGACCTGCTATGTGTAAACCATCTGGCACAGCAACTGTTCTCTCTACCTATTGACTTTAACTCAACAAATATTCAGGGTACATCTATTATATGCCAGTCAAGTCTTCTGTTCACCATCCTGCTACCCCATCTTCACTGCTCTTCTTGATTTGAATTTCTATGCGTAAAATCTGTGTCACAGATGGAGTCCGTTGTATCATCTAACCAACAAGAGGAGAAGGAAAAGGATCCAACAGTACACATACTGATGGATTATCTCCTTAAAAACGTAATCTCAGTTTGTCTTAACGGAAAACCTGTGAGGTACTTATTATTGTGCCCATTTCATCCAAGAGAAAAAGATGAAGATCACAGACATTAATGAATCCATCTGAGATCACAGAGCTGGTGAATAATGAGCCCATATCTGTCATGATCAAAAGGCCAGTGTCCTTGTCACTACACATTGCCTCATGTTATGTGGTTCTCTTTTTCCCAGAAGTACTTAGTTTTGTTGTCCCAGTGTTGCTGTATGGTTTCTCAGGTCAGTGATTACATAACATTTTAGGCCTTTCTTTCCAGTAAAGCCATGCTGATGGCACAAAAAGTCTTTATCTTTAAAAAAACTGACACAAACTTATCTCAGGTAACTTTCAAGATAAAGTAATGAACCTAGAACTCATTGAGGGAGTCTGTGATTCTCCTGAGGCTCCTGCTGAGCCCTCTACTGCTATGTACAGTCACTGGCTCCTGACAACTACCTGACTCCTGGTAAGTTATGGCTCAAAAATTATGTCTCTAAGGAAAAAATTAATGGCCAGGAGCCTTTGCAAGACTCTCCAAGCAGCAATGCTTTACAGATATGGAGGGACATGTGTACCCCTAGAAGGAGATGGAGATGCAGTACGGTCTTTTGCAGATTGAGACACACCTGGCTTTATAAAAACTATGTGCTCAGAGCTGGGCCATTGCTGAGGAAGGGCTAAATAGCACCAGGAAAGAAAACCAATATATCTCCTGTTGGTGGGATCCAAGCTCTGCAGTTCCTATTATAGCCCAAAGTGCCCTACTCACCCAGACAGTCCTGGGTGAAGGTGAGGTTGAGGCTTGCACTAGCCCAGCTGGCAGGGTTGCTGATGTTGCAGGTATATGTGTTCAGCTTATGGGCATCAATCTGTACCTCCAGATGAGAACAGTTCCTCGGTGTCAAGATCAGTTCACTCCCATTGTACCAAGAATAGTTCACATTGTCATTCCTGGAGACTAAACAGTACAGATCCATTTGACATTTTCCTTCGTTGATGATCTTCCTCACTATCTGCAGGTAAGGCTTCTCTACATGATCTAGAAGCAGAGATTCTGATCAGCAAAGTTCTGGAAATATAAGTCCTACAGGAATCAGAGTGGCAGCATGCACAGTCCTGGGAGACTCACCAAATATGGAGACATTGAATTGGATACAGGAAACGTCCCCATTGTTACTGGTCATCGCTAGTTTGTAGAGACCACTGCACTGTGGCTTAGCTGGCTTGATGTTAAGACTCAGGTTCCCACACTCAAAAACAAATGCACAGTTTAAACGCTCTGAGATAGAGGAACAGTGTTCACTTTGATTATTCCAACGCAGTATCAGCGTCGAGGTTCTCTGTGAGCGCAGCTCCATCTTCCATTCAACTGAGTATAACTCCGTCTGTGTGTTTGGAGGCCATATTAAGACAGGCTGTCCCGAGAGGCCAATCACAGGATCAAGAGAATTTGAGCATTCTAGGAAAGAGAACCCAGGATGAAAGCGGCAGGAAAAGTGTAACACTTGAGAAAAGTGGACAGTTGGATGTGACCTCCCTTGCACTAAGATGATGGAGTCACGAAGCCCATAGCCTATGAAAACACTTTCCCCTTACCTGGCTCATCTTCTCCCCAAGCTCTGTCCTCTAATCTGAATAAACCACAGACCAATAATAATAACTAGAATCTCTTAAGCACTTACTAGGTGACAAGCGGATTTCAAACACTTGTAATGCTTTAATTAACCCTGTGAAAGTGTAATCCTCATTTATTCGTGAAGAAATTGAGATAGAAAGGACTTAAGTAACTGGCCCATGACACAGTGAAAATGATGAGCTTAAAATCTAGGCAATTTGCCTTTAAGAGATGTAATTTTAACCGCAGTGTTAATGACTCCATGTCTGATGTGACTTCCTCCACGCAGCTTTGAGGCAGGCCCTATTGGACAGTGGCCATCCCCCAAAGACTAACCTCCCACCTGAAATCATGGCCACTCTTCAGAGTAGGATTCATACTCTTCCCTTATAGCACTTGGCAAAAGAGATTGTAGGCATTCTTCATTAATGCTGGCCAACTTGTTAGTGACCTGGAAGCCTGGACAAAGGTTGCTCCTAAATTCAGAATAATTAGGAAGAGAAAAATAAAATAACACTTCTCAAGCATACCCCAGAATTTTCTTCTCCAGGAATCAAGATAAGAGTGAAAGAATACATGATTCACCAAGAGTGGCTGAGGGTGGTCAGTGAAGAAAAATACAAATTCCTGTTGCCATTTTTTGAAAGGTGTACTGTGTGGCATTGCCCAGTGGATGCAAGAAACGAAAAGGTCTGTCTGCACAGGTTAGGAAGAGTCAGAGGGAGTTCAGAGGAGAATAATTATCCAAATGGCTGTTAAAATTTCAGACATTAAAGGGAGAGCAAGGGAAATAGAGCAAAATGTGATCCTCTCCCCAGAGGCATAGCAACGCAAGAAGTTATTCATGGGCCAAACTACTTTCACAAGCACTGAGGAAATCAGGTGAGAGGTACCAGATTATGGCAAAATAAAAAGATGTATTGAAGATGACAGAAAAGGAGTTGTCTGTGTCACCCTGTCTCCAACTCGCAGCAGCCCAGTGTTGAGAGAGACATCTCCTGCTTGGGGAGTTGAGCAAGTAAAGTCTGGGCCGCAGACATGAAACTCAGTACCAAGGCTGTCATAGTGAAAGCCACAGCATGCTGCAGAGGGCACACAGAGCCCTCTCTGTCAGCATGCCAGCCGCACCACCCCACTGTTACCCCAGCAGCCAAGCATCCAGGTTTAATTGCAATATTGACACTTCGTGATAAAAAAGCAGGATTTCAGTTGCAGTTTGGGCACTCAGACTCTAAAAAGTTCATCAGGCCAATCTTGCATTAGAGGAAGAGTTGTATGTTTCAGCCCACATCAGTACCACATGTGATATGGGCCTCTGTGCATCTCTGAGGCTGAGAAACTCAAGTAGGACCTGTGTTAGCAGCATCCCAGGTGGCCGAGAGTCTGTCTTCACACACACTGCCCCAACCTTAGGCAGCACACTAGGGAGTAAGAAGACTCCATCCACCAGGAATAGGACAGGGTCGGGAGCATGGGACTTTGCCCTGGAGCTTAGTGCTAGACTGGGGAGATACACACAGGCCTCGTGGCCCCTTGGATGCCTGTGAATGGAGCTTCTGGAGCAACTCCAGGACCAAGGAAGATATGTGACCCCAGTCTATTGTCCTTCTGTTTTAGCTAGCCTGTGGCTGCACATGGCAGCATTCCTGGCCAGTAAGTCCACCTCAGCAGTAGGTAGCCCTTGACAGTATAGGCCCTGGTCCTATCCCAGTGTTCTGCTGGTCTTGGCAGGCTGTGAACTCAGCATGTGCTTTGGGGCATTTGTGTTCATAGGTATGGCAGGAGTCTAAGGCTGGCCCATCCACGGAAACTCTACCCACAGCCAGGCACAGTCCTATGATGCTGACCACAGGGCAGTAACCATGGTCGAGTCACCTGGGCCTACCCTGACCTTAGAGAGAGGCTTGTAAAAATCACTATTCTGTCTAGATATTTTCTTGATTCATTCTGAACAACCGGTCAATGACTTAATTTGGACAAACCTAGGAGTGGGTCACCAATTAATAACAAAACATTGACTACCACGAACCAACGGATTCCTGGCAGGCTTGCACCAGCCTGCCATCCAGTGTAGAAATAATGGAAGTGACTATAGGGTCAGAGAAATAAACAGCCTGCTGAGGATTTCTGGAAAAACAGGCACGGACAAAGCCTGATCTGAAAAACTGGACAAAATGCCTCACCCTCTAACGAACAGACAGTATCACTTGCCAACAAGCATCAAGAGCTTTCAGGAAACCATGACCCCACCTAATACTCAGACATAAACAAACGAAGTAGAAATCAGTATAGAAGAATTCTCAGGGCATTTAAAGCGGCTGTTTTAAAGAAACTCAGTGAACTTGAAGAAAAAAAGGAGAAACATTTCAGGACTCTGAATATTGAAAGCAATCTTTAAGAGATGGAAGAAACTATAAAAAAATCAAGTAGAAATACTTGAGCTGAAAAATACATAAAACAAAATACATAATACATAAGAAAGACTGTGATAGAAGGTATAAATAACAAGGTAAGTAATTTAAAAAAATCCTCTAAATCCTTCATTTTAAGCAAAATCCTTTGGACACACTTTTAAGGATTTTTAAAAATATGTGTATAGTTATCAACTTAAAAATAAAAACCTGAAGATAGATAACTGTATTACCAAGTTTCTGTTGGATCATTGAACAGAAGGCTTTGCACTATCAATGTTTGGGTGTCTAACCACTTTTTATGCTTTGATTTTGTAACTTTAACAACTATTTTTAAGATGACAATATGTAATGTATCAACTAGCCATTTTATGTTAATTTTTTGGAATTCTGTATTACTCTACTTTTTTCTTTTTTCTTTTTTTTTCTTTTTTTTCATTCTTTAAATAAATAAATAAAGTAAAAACCTGAACCACATACTTAAAGAACGTAATACTGAAACTCTTAGTGTTTCTTTATGGTTTCTAATAGGATTATTATTATTGTTATTATTACTACTATTGGAGTTTTCTGGAAAAGATTGGGAAGGTCTTTTATTTTTCCTTTGAAATAAAGAAATTCTGTTTTTAAGTGAAAAAAAGAATAGTGAGTTCAAAAACAATCTACTTGAAAATACACAAAAGCAAAAATTAGCAAGTGGGATTACATGAAACCAAGTTTCTGCAGAGCAAAGGAATCAATCAACAGAAGAAAGAAATGACCTACAGAGTGTGAGAAAATATTTGCAGAGTATTCATCTGACAAGAGAATGATATCCAGAATATTTATATCCAGTAACTCAATAGCAAATAAGAATAATAATTTGAATAAAAACTCAGTAAATGACATGAACGGTCAATTTCCAAAAAAAGATACACAAATGACCAATGTTATATATCACTAATCCTCAGAGAAATGCAGATCAAAACTTCAGTGATATATAATTTCATCCCAGTAAGAAAGACCATGATAAAGATGATCATAAAATAAAAATTCTGGTGAAGATTCAGGGAAAGGAAAATTCTGATACAGTGTTGGTAGGAAGGTAAAAATTACAGCCATTATGGAAAATAGTATGGAATTAAAAAAAAAACTAGAAGGGACTGGGGACATAGCTCAGTGGCACAGCAGCTTCCTGGCGAATGCAAGGTTTTGATTTCTATTCTAGATTACCCCTCAAAAAACCATGTGATCCAGAAATCCCAATCCTGGGTATCCTAATATCTTAAGGATATTAAGTCAGTATGTCAGAGATAACGGCACTTGCATTTTATAACAATATTGTCCACAGTAGTCAAAGTATGCAATTAACCTACATGACCATCAATTGATGAATGCATAAAAAAGTATAACACATATGTACAATGGAATACTGTTAAACGATAAAAAAGAATCAAATTCTTTCATTTACAGCCACATGGATGGAACAGAGGGTTATCAGGTTAAGCAAAATAAGCCAGATACAGAAAAACAAGTACCACATACTCTTGCTTATACATGGACACTAAAAATCTGATCTCATAGAAGTAATAAATAAAATACATATTATCAAAGTGTGTGGAGGGCTTGGGGATAGAGAAGCATGGAGAGGATGATTCTTAGGTCAAAAGTTCTAATTGAACAGGAGAAATACCTTCTAAAGTTCCAATGCACAATTGGCTAACTATAAAAATAAGATTTTGAATGTTATCAATACAAAGAATAATAAATGATGTGATAGCTATGCCCTTTTCTGATCCTTACACATGACATATTTAAGTATTGAAGTGTCATACTAGGCCCATAAATATATGCAATTGTTACATATTAATTTTAATAAAAATATTTCAAAGGGTCAGTTAAAAATCTCTATACATATAATAGTCTCTATACATATAATAGTCCCTATACATATAATAACAAGTTCAAAATGAAACTTTAAAATATGTGAACCAAAATTTAAAAGAACAAAAAAGAAAATAGAAACAAAGACACCATCATAGTTGGAGATTTTTATCTCACATCTCTCTGTGTAACAGACATAAATAAAAAGTGAAGAAAGATACAGAAAATATATAAGAATTCGGACAATATGATTAACCAGTTTTACACAATTAACATATATAAAACATTACTACTAACAACTGCAAACTATTCTTTTTAAAAAAAATTAGAGCACTTACCAAAATAAGTAATATCTAGGTATTAAAACATGCTTCCACAAATTGCAAAATGTTGAAGCTATAAATATTACTACCTTTACAGAGTAGTAGATTTTAAACTAGAATTTAGTAACCGAAAAATAACTAGAAAAACCCCTATGTTTGGAACATAAGCAACATCTCCTTAAAAATGCAGGAGTCAAAGGATGAATCATAACCAGATCTGTAAAATATTTAGAACTAAGTGGTAATG